ACGTCATAGTTTAAAACGCATTGTAAACATAGTTTACAATGCTCTTGCAGCCAATCTCTGACCACTGTCACATTGTCATGATGTTGCTTCTCTTTCTCTTTTCTACAAGTAATAAAATGGGCACTGCGCTAAAGAGCTAGCATCCCTTGTTCCATCTACTAAAATTCTTTCTTGTGTCACTCGCCATTCAATCAAGTCTCATCCTTTTTCTGTGACTGTTTCTAAGTGCTCCGAAAATTCTTATTCCTCTAGTTTTTTTCTTTGAACATCAGTTCTTTGGAATTCGCTTACTTCATCTTGCTTTCCTGATTCATATAATTTGCAATCTTTTAAGTCATCTGTCAATAATTTTCTTGCTCTACGAATTCTATCTTTTCTCTTCCAGTAACTTCCAAACTCTTATAGTGGTTGCTGGCTGCCTTGTTGGAAGCGAAGGTGTAATATTTATATATATATATATATATATATATATATATATATATATGTATATATATATATATATATATATATATATATATATATATATATATATATATATATAAAAATTATAATAGCATATTGTTTTTTAATTAAATAATATATAGTCCTACATTCCCTACATTCATTTACTTACTTATCTTAAGAAAAATTAAATATAAAAAAGGTTTAAAGTTGAGAATAGTTTTGATCTTTACTAGTGTGATTCTATCGCCAAGTTTCTTGAATGTGAACAATCATTTCTCGATACAAATGTTGCAAAAAGTCGTATGTTTTTTATTATGGTTGAATGTTTAGTTTTCTTTTTAAGGGTAAATTACTATCATAAATTACATAAAAAATTTCGCTCTGTATTTATATACATAATGCTCACTTTACAAATAAACATAATTTACACAAAATTTTTGAATTGATTAAAACACTTATGTATTGCTTCTATGCCCAATATAACTTACACTAAATTGTCCCATTCAATTACACTAGTGTTTTAGTCTTTTGAATTTAGAAATAGAAGTTATTAAATGTTGGTGGTTCATCATGCAGTGCATATGAGAAGGGCATGCTTTCAAAGTCAATATAATTTTACTATAAATAGAGCATTTTTATTACCGCAATTATATTGCATACGTGATATACATAAATATATACGCTGGTCACAACAATCCAGTCAAAAATTTCTTTAAAAAAATCAATTTAGTGTTGAGAAGTTCGTATTTTTTGATGTTTGATGTTATGTTTGTAAAATAATAATTATATATATGTGTGTGTGTGTGCGTGTGTTTGTGTGTGTTATTTCTTTCTAACCCCTTTATTTTTACATACTTATCTTGACAATATTTTTTTAGGGTTAAGACTGCTCCCCTGATTCCTACAGCAAAAAAACAACTTTAAAATGCTGGTGATAATATTTTAAAGAGTGCACCTGATCGAAAAGAAGGTGAATGACGTCAACTGTTCAAACATTCGATTCTTGGAAATTAACAAGTGGAAGAAGAAGTTTATAAAATTGTAATTTATAAAACTCATCACAATTATATTATTAAAAAATTTAAACGATTTATTATTTTTTTCTTATTCTCAAGAAGTTCTGTGAAAACATATATTTGAACCTTACGTTTAAGTAAAGCCATGTAAAAACACGTATTTTAGACGTCGAAATGAGAACGTCTAAATTAGGTTATTTAAAGACGTCATTTGGCGTTTCCATTTAGCACTAGTTCTGAACGTCCTAAATTCACGTATTTTAGACGTCTAAAAACACGTCTTTATTCCGTCCTAAAAAGACGTCCTAATTACGTCTTGAAAAGACGTCATCTGGCGTTGCCATTTAGAACCAGTTCCGGACGTCCTAAAAAGACGTCCTTTCGACGTCATATGGACGTTTCCGTGCCCGCTGGGTTGAGGTATGAAGTAATAAGCTCAATAACCTTTCTCTTTTTCACATTATTTTACATTTCTGAAAAGCAAAAGTCAAAGTGTTATGCATTCGGTTATATTTTAACAAAGCTTATTTAAGCCAATTTTCACATATTTTTCATTGTATCATATGTCTAAATATAATTCTCAATAAGACAAAAAGAAATTACGTAAACAGAATACAATGCAATGAGTTATACCCAGTGGGCACAGGACGTAAAAAAGACGTCCTTAGGACGTTCAAATCGCGTCCGTCAGTCCTATTAAAATTCTAAACGTCTTTTGAACGTCTTATTCGAGTCTAATAATTTTTTCGTCCAAAAAATATCCAGAATGCTTTATTAAATAAAAAAAAATCAGTTAAATCACGCAAGCGCTAAAACTTCATAAAATTTTTAAGTAACGCATTTTTAATAAAGTTTTTTTTCAATTACAAAAGAAGTATTTTTACAACAACTAATAGACACGTTCTATCTAATTTTTATTTTTGTTATCAATTGAAAATTGTGGTAATATTGATACAGGTAATGAAATTTTTACAGATAATGAAAGAAACGGTTTAAAACTGAATATATGCTATACTATGTATATATATACTTGATATACTATTAGTATAGTATTGCTATATCAAGAACCAAGTTCTAACAATAAGATTTAGACATCTCATGCAGAATCGAATTTTTCAATAGGAAAACCTGTTAATGATCATGGAACAATTATCTTGATAATTCTTTGAATTCAATGTCTTTACTCGACAACATTATGCTATTTTATAATGAAACCAGTACATTAGTTAATGATCTTCTTGAAATATTGCCAAATCAAGGTTTGGAACTTCCCAAAGATTCAAGGAGAATTTTAAAAGCACCTTATGAAAAGCGACTTATAGACAGGTTCTTGCTAATTTATATATATATTTTTTAAACATTTAATTACTTAAGAATCGTATTAATATTGATGCATATATTGAAATTGATACAGATATTGAAATAAATAGTTAAAAACTGGGTATATGATATATATATATATATATATATATATATATATATATATATATATATATATATATATATATATATATATATATATATATATATATTAAGTATATACTTGACACTTGATATAGTATTTCAAGTATAATAATTGATATACTATATCAAGAACCAAGTTCTGACTGTTTGAAAGACTTAGACATCGCAGAATCTCATGCATAGTCATATTTTTCAAAAGGAAAACCTATTAATTATACAGAGAGTTTATGGTGATAACTCAATATCTTTAATTAACAACTTTTAGATTGTTCTATTCGAAATAATTGGACCAGTACATTAGTTAATGAACTTTTTGAAATATTACAATATCAAGTTTTCGAACTTCGCTAATAACCAATTACTTAACTTTAGTAATTAGTTATTAGTGAAGTTCAAAAGTTTTGAATAAAAAATAAGTCTAATTGAAAAAATTAGACCAGTCATAACAGTTATATAAGAGACAGGAGGGTAGAAAATTTCCTTTACTCTTAAGGAAATTTTCTACCCATCTGTCTCTTATATAACTGTATTAATATATGAATAACCACTATATCACATGTTGGAATGTTATTGGCAATTTACTGTAACCGATGAGAAGTAACCGATGAGTAACACTCCTTAATTTCTCCTTTTTTTTTTTATCATCTAGGAAATTTTATTAAAGTAAATGGATTATACTTATTATTAAAGAAATTATATAGTCCTTTGATTGATTGCAATGCTATATTTTTATTGTATATATATATATATATATATATATATATATATATATATATATATATATATATATATATATATATATATATATATATATATACATAAATATATATATACACAAGCCTTGGAATTAAGAAAAAAAAGGTTGACAATAATTTGTCGACATCAATCAAAAAAGCAAAAAAAAAGTGATTCAAAAGTCTTACTATTAAACATAGAAACAAGGTCAGCATTATTTGTCGACCTCAAACACTTTTTATAGCCTTTTTTTTAATTCTTCTCTATACTCAAAATAGGTACCTAGTCAATTCAGCAAGAAAAAAAGAACATTTAAGAATTTCCTTTCAAAAGATGTAGTTAGTAAAATTTTAGTTGTTTTAGTTAGTTATATATATATATATATATATATATATATATATATATATATATATATATATATATATATATATATATATATATATATCTTCTTCATATCCTGTAACTTCAGGGGTTCTTCAAGGTTCAATCCTTGGCCCTATACTCTTTTTAATTTACATTAACGATCTTCCAGATATTATCACATCTAAGGTGGCATTGTTCGCTGACGACACTACTATTTATTCTTGTCATGATAAGAAGCCTACACTCTCTGATTGCTGGGAGGGGTATCTGAGCTTGAAAAGGATCTCACCTCTGCTACAGCATGTGGCTCACAATGGCTGGTGAACTTTATTTCAGATAAAACTCAATTTTTTTCGGCCAATCGTTATCGCAATAGTTTTGATCTTCCTATATTTATGAATGGTAATGTACTAGATGAGTAATATACCCTTCACCTTCTATGATTAACTTTTACTTCTGATCTTTCTTTTAAACCGTATATCAAATCCATTGCAATATTTGCATCTGCTAAGGTTGCATCTCTTTATCGAGCTCGACACTTCCTTACTCTAGATTTTATTCTCTATCTCTATAAATCTCAAATCCTTCCCTGTATGGAATTCTGTTGCCATATCTGGGGCAGATCTTCTATTGATGCCCTTTCTCTTTTAGACAAGGTGCAAAAACGCATTGTAAACATAGTTGGACCTGCTTGTGCAGCCAATCTCCAACCATTGTCACATCGTTGTGATGTTGCTTCTTTTTCTCTTTTCTACAAATACTTTAATTGGCACTGCTCTAAAGCTAGTTTTTTTCTTCGAACATCAGTTCTTTGGAATTTGCTTCCTTCATCTTGCTTCCCTGATTCATATAATTTGCAATCTTTTAAGTCATCTGTTATTTGTTATCTTGCTCTACGAACTTAATCTTTTCTCTTCCAATAACTTCCAAACTCTTATAGTGGTTGTTCGCAGCCTTGTTGGAACCGAAGATGTAATATGTATTTTTTCTATTATAATTTATATATATATAAATTATAATATATAGTCTTTAATTCATTTACTTACTTATCTTAAGAATAATGAAATATAAAAAACGTTTAAAGTTGAAAATAGTTTTAATCTTTACTAGTATGATTCTATCGCCAAGTCTCTTGAATGTGATCAATCATTTCTCGATACTAATGTTGCAAAAAGTAGTATATTTTTTATTATGTTTAAATGTTTAGTTTTTTTTTTATAAGGGTAAATTACATAAAAAATTTTGATCTGTAATTATATACATAATGCTCACTTTACAAGTAAACATAATTTACACAAAATTTTTAATTGAATAAAACACTAATGAATTGCTCCTATGCCCAATATAACTTACACTAAATTGTCCCATATCAATTACACTAGTGTTATTTTTTGAATTTAGAAATAGAAGTTATTAAATGTTGGTGGCTCATCATGCAATGCATTTGAGAAGGGCATGCTTTCAAAGTAAGTATAATTTTACTATAAAAAGAGCATTTTTAATACCGCAATTATATTGCATACTTGATATACATAAATATATACGCTGGTCACAACAATCCAGTCAAAAAATTTAAAAAAAAAATAAATTTAGTGTTGTGAAATTCGTATTTTTTGATGTTTGATGTTATGTTTATAAAATAATAGTTATATATATGTGTGTGTGTGTGTTATTTATTTCTTTCCCCTTTATTTTTACATACTTATCTTAACAATATTTTTTTAAGGTTAAGACTGCATTCATGATTCCTACAGCAAAAAAAAAAACTTTAAAATGCTGGTGGCAATATTTTAAAGAGTGCATCTGATCGAAAAGAAAGTGAATAACGTCAACTGTTCGAAAATTCGATTCTTGGAAATTAACAAGTGGAAGAAGAAGTTTACAAAGTTGTAATTTATAAAACTCAGCACAATTATATTATTAAAAAATTTAAATGATTTATTATTTTTTTCTTATTCTCAAGAAGTTCTGTAAAAATATAAATTTGAACCTTACGTTTAAGTAAAGCCATATTAGAACACGTATTTTAGACGTTGAAATAAGAACGTCTAAATTAGGTTATTTAAAGACGTCATTCGGCGTTTCCATTTAGCACTAGTTCTGAACGTCCTAAATTCACGTCTTTTAGACGTCTCGAAGCACGTCTTTATTCCGTCCTAATTACGTCTTAAAAAGACGTCATCTGGCGTTGTTATTTGGAACCAGTTCTGGACGTCCTAAAAAGACGTCCTTTCGACGTCATATAGACGTTTCCGTGCCCGCTGGGTATTTACCTATCTTTAATACAACTATCCGAAGCTAACCAGACTTGTCTACAAATGCAGTTCAAGGAAAAATAGAATTCTTTTTCTTTGAAAAATCGTATGGCTGTTTCGGACTTTGGAAACTCAGTAAACTGATTGCCTTTCACACATTTTAGCAAATGATTTCTCATTTGAAAAGCGTCAAAAGCAACATAACTTGGATTTAATCCAGTATCGGTAATATGTTTTATAAAGGCTAATGCATATGAACCAAAATCAACATAATTTGTTTGTTGTTGCACGGGTACAACGCGGACAGTAAATGTATCTTCAGTGCAATACATAATAGCACAAATTTGTCTAACAACATAGTTTTTTACTTTTCCACGAAAAAAAACTGTCTATAAGAAAAACCTCACCAACAGAACATCCAAAAGTACTTATAGCCAACCAGTGGGCATCGCCATCGTGCAACACCTGGACAAAAGATGCTTTTTGTACACGGAACGATAGATTTTGTCCAAGAACCGGGGTCTTGGAGACCGCCTACATCTGTTATCATCTTTTGCATGGTGTGGATTACAATGTCAAACAACATTTAGTTTGTTAAAATATCGTTCAAATCATTGAAAGAGATTACAGTTAGGTGATAAATGGTTTAGTCTTTTTATCGCGAATCCATCATTTTCATTAATAGTAACTGACTCCTAATCAATAATTATACTATTCCCATCAATATGTTCAACAATGTCGACCTCAATCGGCTCTGTTTTATGTTTTTTTTCCTCTAGAAATATTTAAGAAGATGCAATAACCATATCTTTGTGATTACCAACGCGAACAGTAGGAAGCTTCATTGGCTTACGAACAGGAATTGGAAAGTTCCTTTTTAAATGACAAGGCAACTTGATAAAAACTTTTTTTAAGTTTTTTTAATGAGAGAAGCAAGAGTGCTATATACAAGAACAATTTCTTCTGAATTTTCCTCAAATTCATAGGTTAGGTTTTGAATTGTTGTAAACATTTTTTTTAACATTTACTCCAGAGCAAACACTTGTAATTTTTTTAGATTTCTCATTCCAATCTTTAATGACATCTAATTCTTTTTTAGGTAGAATTGAACTTTCCGGCCTACTAAATGGTGGCTTTTCATGGGATGCTTCATGATCATCAGCATCTAAGTTTAAGAATGGTGAATTTAGATATAATGATGACAAAACACTCCATGACCAAGCAGGGTACTTTCTAAATACTAAAAAAAAAAATGTTTGCATGGATATTCAGTTGATATTCAATTTAAACAAGTACATTTTGACATTGTAATCTCATCACCAAATGATACAAAATAATTAGTAGCTGTCTAGGTAGAACTTAATGCTCCATGTTTAATCATGATTACTCCGGACAAACCAAGATTCTCAACGTTACTTTTTTTTATTAGGCAATGTTTAGCAAAGCTATGAGGACAATTATAAAGATAACTTGGCACCCAACCTGCATACCTTCTGTAACGTGCATCCATTTTAAAGTTGGAATCAGTATAGCTAAACGAAATAATATTCATAGTAACAAAGTTTCTTAAATAAAGTATTAGGAAAAACCCAATATTGTGTAAATGAATGTAAATGATTTGGTTTGTAGTACCATAGACACGATATCTTTAAAATGCAAAATGTAATGATAAGGAAAAAATATTTTATATTAGCTACGTGAACAATGTATACTATGAATTATTATTAAGTATATAAACCTGCTGATCACATACCTAGGTTTTCTGAACTTGTTTTTTTTAACCAGGTAAAAATAATTAGTAGTGTTTGTTGTTTTTATGTGGAAGTGTGTTTTAATGAGGAAGTTTTTGTTGTTTTTATTTAGGTGTGTATTACTTTTAAAAATTGATACAAACGAAACGAAACTTTAAAAAAATGATACCTGTCAAGTTTATTAATGAAGAAGTCGTCAATAAACAAAGTTAACATTCAAGTCAATGATGAGTTTTTATGTCGCTGTAAATAATTATATTTAAAAGACTCATTCAGCCTTTCCACACCATTGTTTGTATTGCAATTAATGAGAAGGCGATCTTGCCTGTACCACCAAACCCGCCTCTAATTTAAAAAAAAGCCTTTTTTTTATTTTGTTTTGTTCAGTTAAATATAAAAAAGTTAAATGACTCTTTGTTGAATCCTCCTGTATTTCGATAAAAAATATATATTAAACGTTTTACTTGCTTTAAAAATTTTATATTTTACATACTTTTTTAATTGGGAGCCAATACTTTTCTATATATTGTTTAAACTTAGTAAAGCTTTCTTGACTCCAGAATTCAGACTGTTCCAATATTCTTTGAGCATTTTCTTCCTCGTCAATTGACTTTGACCAAGCGAGTCGTCTTAAAATACATAAAATGTCATCTTTTCTGTTAGAGCAACCACTTGATAGCTTTTTTAGCCAACGGTCCCAAGACTGTTCTCTGTGAAAGTCACATATAAATACCTTACATCCTAAAAAATATATTCAAAATAAGTTGATGCATTGGATGTTTGTATAGTTAAATTAACTTCATGTAAAATAAATAAATACTTAACTTGTTTTACAAATACGCACCAATAAAAATAGTTTCAAGAGCACGTATCTCAGCGTTACAATAATCACTCATGCAATAAAGAGGTTGCAAATCTTTATTCCAAGACTTTAAGATAACAAGTGCTTCAGATATCGATTCAAAAATTTCACTTTCGTTTACAAAGGTTGCTACAGTTTGATAATCCACATTTGTTTTGACAACCAAAAAAAAACAAAGGTAAAGAATATCGTGTCGTTTTGTATGTTGCATCCAAAAACAACATCTTATTGTCATATTTTTTTAGCAGTTTTTTTTGCCAAAATGCTTGGTATACAAACAAGAGCTCAGCACTGTTACCCCGTTCTTTAGGTCGAAAATAGATATTGACAGATGAGTCAGCTTCTTTCCATTCTTTTATTTTGATTTCTAAGCAGTCCTGGTCGATGTTCGAGTATCTAATACATTAAATTTGAATTTGAAGTTGATTAAAAAGATTGATTAAATCAATAAATGACTGAAGTTATCTTTAATATTTAATAAACACCTAAAACCTCTTTTAAATAGTCCTACATATTATAATATTTGCAACATCAAAATTTATTTATTTTTCATTTTTTAAACTTTATTATCTTTGCTTTAGACGCTCTTTAACCATGTGCGAACGAATTATGTCAGTTCTTGGATAAAATCTTCTGTTGGTTCTAGAAGGAAGATTTTTCTTTCCAAACATTTCAGTGGCCTTCACAACGACTAAAAAGTCCACATGCCCCAATTTAGGATTTAACGTTGTAATCTCAACAATAATTTTTCGACTAATTATCACATCCTTTTTTTGTAGCAACGAATATTTTATTTCTTTTGAGTTTTGCTTCTTGCAATAATTACTGGGATTAATAAGCTGAAAAAAATATTTAAATAAGAAAACTAAACAAAGATTGTTTCAAAAGTAATAGATCGACAGTAAACAGTTAAGAACTTAATAAAATATTGTGAGTGCGTAATAATTTATAAAATGATTTCCTAATTAGTAGAACATTGTAATGTCAGTAGATTTGTTACCTTGAAGTGAGTGAAAAATATCACTTCTTTCATAATGGCTTTTGCAGAACAATTAAACTTTTTAGTATCTTGTACGATAACATAATCAGTTATGCATAATTGATCCACTTTCTTTAAAAAAAAATAGCCAAAGTGAGCATAAATTTATTTCACAACGATGTGAGTTGTAAAAATAATTACCTGATTTTCTGTTGCTTCATTATGCTTCCTTTTTGCAGCAGCGTTCCGATCAAAACCATGGTGACAATTGTACCTTTTTGTAGATAATATAATATAAGGAGTAGCAAAGTCTTCAGATGTTTCCGATAATACTTTATGTTGGGTTCCATGTATAGCTAAGCAAGGAAATTAGGATATCATGTTTTGTGTATGATTTCAAAATATTAAGACTGTTCAAAGTTATTATGCACACACATTAGAACAACAATGTAGTTAGGGTGATTTATTAACAATTTGAATTATTATATTTCAAATTCGCACCATTTTTTTTTTTTTTTTTTTGTGTTGCACCTCTTATTATATTTTAACATTCGTTCTTCTCTTTTTTTAACATTATTTAAAAATCTTACTACAACTAACACAAAGTGTAAAGAACATCATTTTAAAAGAATATTGATTTTCCTCAATAAAATAAAAATTTGTCTTTTCACTTGTTTGTGTTAAAATTTCCTTGTTCAAATCTATTCAGGTGCGTTTAATTTTATTTTATTTTGATTTTAACATCACATTTAATTTAATATTAGTTAAAATATAACATTTCTATCAAGTTTCAAACAAATTTAGGAATAGAATAAACCAATAATTAATAAAAATTTCCAAAGACTGAGCTAAACTAATAATAATAAAGAATGATAATTACTTCATCAATATAACGCACTTATTTTTAATTTTAATGAAATCTGAAAAAGGAAGTCAAATTTTTTGAGTCAATTTTTGGTCTGGGTTTTCGTAATAAATATTTAAATTTTATAAATTCATATATTTTGCGCGTATGCAGAAATTAAAATAACAGTCATTGTTTCCCATAATTATTTTATATTACAAATAACATTAGTTAAAAAGGATA